TGAACTTAGGAAGTTATTTCCAAGATGAGGTCGTCAAGAGCAGGGGCTTAGCAGGTGGAGCCGTCCTGTACTTCCTGCTGTGTGACCTTCAGCAAGTCACTTCCTCTCTGAGCCTCAGTTTGCTTATCTGTAAAGTGGGGATAATAGCCCCATGACTTTGTTGTGAGGATGAGATGAGACGATGAATGTAAAATATTCGGCTGAACCACTCTATGCGACCATGTTGACCTTCAAGATGGCATTTCGTATAGTTCAACCTGGCAGGTGTCTGGCATGTAGTCAGTGTTAAGAAAATAGTGGCTGTGATGACCTCACATCTGGTTGGGTTGACATTTCTGCTTCTATTGATTAGCTGAACAGACGTTTCATTCTTTCATCCAAAACGTATTTGCTGAGCACCGGCCATGTGCGAGGAATTGTCATCAGGAAGAGAACAAGACCTTCCTCTCAAGGGTTGAACGCATCTCTTCGACACATTCAGGAGCACAGTCGCCTGTGAATAGGGCCCTGGAGTGCTGGTCAGGGGCTTCTTAGAGAGTCAGCTGGGGGTGGGCCCATGACGGTGAGAAAGCCGGCCTCAGCCTGCATAGCATGAGGGGCTGAGGCAGAGCGCGGTGCCCTGAACCGGGCAGTTTGCTTCGTGACCGGCTAGCGAAGACCAGCCCTGTGCTTTCTTAGAGAACAGGCTGAAAAGGAGACCAGCTGGCCCGGGGGTGGCTTCTCCCTTCAGCCAGGCCGGGGGACAAGGCTGCCCAGCTGAGCTTTCTGCCTGAGCATGTCCTTTTCTGCTTGTCCATCCGGAGAAGAGAGTCCGCAAGCTGTCCTTTGGGGTCACTTACTATACTCAGTTACAAATAGCATTGCCACCAGCCCCTGGGACCTAATGCCATTTGGGTGAGGATCCTGGATAAGTCCCACTGGGGAGGCAGAATTCATCCCTGGTGGCTCTTTTGTTTGCAGGGGGAGGGAAGAACCCCACTTCCACAGGCTTTTGGCTCAGAGCTGGAATGAAGGGGCAGGGATTCTTTTTTCCCACACCTGGGGCTCAGCCTGGCAGAGAAGCTTCCAGTATGTAGCCACTTGTGGCTATTGAGCGCTCAAAATCTGACTAGTCTGAATAGAGACGCAAGTGTAAAGAGCACGTCTGCTTTCGAAGACTTTCTACCAAAAAAGAATGTAAACCATTTCATTAGTATATATAAAGCTTTATAACATGTTAAAAGGACAATGATCTGGATACGATGGGTTAAATAAAACATATTATTAAAATGAATATCACCAATTTTTTGCCTTGAACACGGTGGCTACGAGGAAATGTAAAATGACCTACGTGGCTTGCATTATATTTCTATTGGGAAGTACTCTTCTAGGAGTCTCTGGGTGACTTTTCACCTATCCTGAGGTGAGTGAGTGGCCAGATGTGGAAACACCACCCGGATGGCTTTAGCACACCAGCATCCCCTGGGGAGTCTCAGAAGTAGGTGGGTCAGGAAACCCCCTTGAAGACTGGCCTCGCTGCAGCTTGGGCCACATGAGTTGGGTATAAAAGAGAAGCGTGGCCTCAGTGGGCTGGGCCTATGAGTTAAGCCTGAGAGTAAGAGAACTAGTGATTCTTGTTTGGCAGTGGCCCCTTAAAATGGCTGCACCAAAACATCAATCCAGAAGCCCAAGATGGGACTAAGGGCTAAGAAGCCCCCAGGCGTACCCCAAAGAGTTTGGAAGTGGCTTCTAGGCTCAGCAAGCGACTTTAGGCCTCAAAGACCCTGTTAGGCCATGGCTATATTGTATGGATTTTTATACCACGGGTTAAATCACAAATGCCGATGTGTAACAATCCCATATTGTGAGAACATGGTACTCCCCAGAGCAGTGGACACTATTGGTGCCCTGCCCGGATCCTTTTCTGGTTCTGGGAGCTCATCCCCAGTTCCTGTGACTTTGCTGCTAAAAACTACAGTTGTGATACTCTTTAGATGACTGTCCATGGGTAACTAGTGCCCTCGTACCCATTCTGAGGGCCACTATTCTCATAGCCAATGATTGACTGGTGCGGGTGCACAGCACTCCGTCTGCAGATGCAGGAACTCAGATGCCACACAGACTCCCCTGTGAGCAGGAGTGAGACACGTGATGCTGGGCTGATGTTGTGGCGTTCACTGTGACGTTCGCTGCGCCAACTAGCGGTGGGGTATCTGAAGCTGGCTCATAACCCGAATTTTAGCTCGCAACTCAAAGCAAAAAATCGGCCGAGAGACGGCTCGTATCTCGAAAAACTCGTTAGTCAGGACATAGTAAGTCAAGGCGCCACTGTATTATGGATATTGGTCTTGACCTTGGGTGGTGGCCATGTCATACGCATCCCTGAGTGTGTGGGGATTCCAAACCCTTGGGGTTCCCCTGCTGAGAGGCCCCGACCCTGTGCCCAGAAGAGCAGGGGCTGTAGGACCAGAAGCGGGGCCATGTGGTCTGCATGCCTCCAGGTCATGTCCAGGAGGCAGCAATGAACATCACACCAACAGCCACGTGACTTCCCCTCTCACGTTTATTTTATTGCGGTTTCATCAGGCTCTTCCCCCACATCTTTTGATCTCCATCATGGCCTCTTGTCCAGAAAGTTGAAACTGTGCCATCGTGACAACACCCCTGCCCTCTTACATAAAGTCTTTCAAAATAAGGATCGAAACAGGAACTCTGCTGAGATTTGCAACACAGAAGTGTCTTCTAGGCCTACAATTTATAGGAAGTGGGGGTGGGAAAGAGCAATGAGTCCACAGGGCTGGGGGGAGAGGGAGTGTCCACACGCAGGGTAGTCACACAGGTGGGCAAGCAAGATTGGAACAGGTGCCTGAGTCCTGAGGGTTCCAGGATCATCAGGAATTACTGACTTATCAACGGGGAGAGCTTTAGAAAAACCTACACACACACACTGTCTCTACATGGGAAGCACTTACTTCCCCTTAAGATAGACTAGAAAAAAATGAAAGCGAGCCCAAAAACCCACATTAACCCAACACACACACGACAAACTCTTAGACTCCAGAAAAACACCCTCCCATAGGCACTTGGTGTCTTCAGCTCTGGGGTTGGAGTGAAGATCTGGGGCTTTGTCCCCCAAAGACAGGGGCCACTGTCCTCACAGGGACACATCTGCTTCTGAAGGCTCTGGGGTCTGATATTTCGGGTGGTCCTGGCCCAGATGGACAGGAAGGAGGTCTGTGTCATGAAGACCCCCCTCCCCCGGCCAGCCTTTTATTTCTCTGAGACACTGACTTGCGGGAAGCTGTGTGCCCAGTGCATTTCCTGAATACAGCAGCCTGGCATTTCTAAAGCACACATCACGGAAGGGGCAAATGCTGGCTTTTTAAAAGGTGGGCGTGCCATGTTGGGAACTGATGGCTCCAGGAGGCAGGGACCACGTCCAGTTTGCTACTAACCCCGGTAGCCTCAGGACCCAGCACTGTGCCCGGCACTTAGTAGGCCCACAACAAATGTTTGTTGAACGACTGAATGAAATAACCCAGGAAGAAAAAACTTTTCTCCCAAGACTACACATTTCTAATCTTTTCATCAGTTATAAATTGGTTCGTTTTAACCCTCAATGTGGAACTATAATTCATGTATTCTCCTGCCATCAGCCGGCGCTAAAGGAACTTTTTTTTTTTTTCAGTTGCAGCTGAGTCTTGTCAGTGGGAGCCAGAGAACTAAGCTGGTTATGTCCACACGAGAGGGTCTGCAGCACATGCTCTGGTGAACTTTGATGGGAGGATCAAGCCATCCCCAAGGCCAGCAGCTGGCCCAGAACTGGCTCTCCTGGCTGGAGGCTGGGCCAGGTCCCTGTGTGTTGGGTCTGATGACTGGGGAGGAGGGGCAGGGGTTTCATTATACCCCAGGGGTCTGAATGATAAAGAAGTAGAGGCACCTGTGAGAGGAAGGCGGCCAGGACTGGCCCTAGAATTGAGAACCAGACAAGAGAAGGTGGGTGTGGCGGACCCCAGGGCCTTGGACACACTGAACTCTCCGGCCACAAGGAGGCCTGTCTGGGGAGAAGCCCCAAGCATTGGGGAGAACCTGTGTCCAGGAGAAAGGCGAGGCAGAAGGAGCCTCTGGGGAGTGGAGAAGGCTGCTAGGCTAGAATCTGCTCCAGGGAAGGTTCCACCGGCATTTTGGACCCTCGGGGAAGGGGGAGGCCAAGGTAGGGAGAAAGCCAAGGGGGTGTGGGAGAGGCTGGTGAGGAATGAATACTGGGGTTGCCACCTGGAACCCGGAGGCAGGTGAATTTGAAATGATGGTGGCAGCTTAAGGTACGCAGGGTCCCAGGTCCCTATCCACTCCATCTACCTTGACTTCAGGGCATGGCCACGAGGAGAACTGGGGAGCCCTGAACCTCCTCCCTTCACTTGCACACAGTTTTGGACAAGGGACCAGGCTTCTCTGGGGAAGGATCTGGGTAGCTGCGGCTTTGCTCTGTTTTTCATGTCAGGGCTGTACCGATACTGGCCAAACGCCCGGCTGTTTTCAGGAAGGACAGAGTGAGGTTCCCTGGGGGTGACTTCAGTGGACACTGAGGGCCTTCTGAGGGAGGGCAAGGCACCGACACCCCAAATCCCTCCCCAATTCCTGCAGGCCTCCCAGTGGGTCTGGTCGAGCAGGGGGGACCTCTGGGGGAGAACTCGGGAAGGGAGGGAAGTGCTGAGCCCTGTAGTGTGGCCCTGACAGGGGTTTTTTCTTTGGGTTGCCATGCAGGAGCCTGGCTGAAGCAGACTGCTGCGGCGGCCACTTCCATGACGGCTCTCACACATCATCTCTGCCGGCCCCACCCCGGCCACTTCCTCTTAGAGCAGTGGTTCTCAATCTTGGCTGCACGTTAGAATCACCTGGGAATCTTTTTAAAATCCTGATTTCTGGGCCTCATCCTCTGGCAATTCTGTTTCTTTGTTATGGGGTGGGGCCGCAACCTTAGTAACAAAGAAACAGAATTTCCAGAGGATGACGCCCAGGAATCAGGATTTTAAAAAGATTCCCAGGAGATTCTAATGTGCAGCCAAGGTTGAGAACCGCTGTCCTAGAGGCTCCTTTCTCTCAGAGACCTTGGTTGACTTTGACAACTGACCATTTGGGCAGCTGGCTTTTCCTCTTCTGTGCTTTAACATCCCCCTCTTACGTTTTAAATTTGCCAATGAAGAGGGAGCCTGCGGAAACCCTAGGCCCCACCCTCGACCCCAGTAAAAGCAGAACCCCAGGCCCGTGCGCTCTCTCGCCCCACGACCTCGCCGTGCGGCCCCAGGTGTGCTGTGTAATTTCTAGGTCCTGTAAGTAATACACTTTTTTGTTTTGCTTTTTCCAAGTTTCTTGATGCTTATGGCTGAGGGGCTTCTTGCCCTCATGAGAACCACAGGGCCAGCCTAGCCGCAACACTGCTTCCTGGTGGGCTGAGACCGGCACACAGCGCCCGCTGCCGGTCAGGGCACCATGTGCCACCACTTGAAGGCGAAGGGCTTCCTGCGGACGTTGGTGCCACAGTGGATCTCCCCCATGAACTTGTGGTAGGCGGAAATGTCGTCCACGAAGGTGCAGCAGAGGCCCAGGGGCTCCAGCAGCGAGCGCACGTGCGTCTCCAGGCAGCACACCTCCTCGATCTGGGGCCCGAACGGCTTGGGGATGCCCAGGTCCTTGTCGAGCACAATCATGTTCACCTGTGATGGAGGGCAGGGCAACAGCTCCTGTTTAGTGAGCACCTACTATGCACCCGGCCCTGTTCTAAACCCACTGGACCCTCCCAACAACTCTATGAAGTACGTCTTGTGATTTATCCCCACTTTACAGATGAGGAAACTGAGGCACAGAGGGGGCTAAGCAACTCATACATGGCAGAGCTGAAGTGGAAAAGCAGGCTTTCTTCTGTATGTAGGTGCATGTACATGCCTGTGCACATAGCTATATATGTATGTAGCAGCACGTGCATGTAAATGCATGTGTGTATTTGTGTGTACATGCATGTTTGCATGTAAATGCGTGCATGTATCTATGTGTGTGTGTTTGAACCTCTTTCTATCTCATAGAAGACTCTCCTCTCTGATAACAAGAATTCCCCTGTCCATAAAGGTCTCCTTTTTTAAAAAATCCTCACCCAGGGATATTTTTCCATTGATTTTTAGAGAGAGTGGAAGAGAGAGGGAAAGACAGAGAGAAACATTGATGTGAGAGAAATACATCAATTGGTTGCCTCCTGCACCAGGGCCCAGGCTGGGAAGGAGCCTGCATCCAAGGTACGTGCCCTTGGCTGGAATTGAATACGGGTCCCTTTGGTCTACAGGCCGACGCTCTATCCACTGAGCCACACTGTCAGGGCTCCATAAAGGCTTTTTAAACGTACACAGCCCTTTCCTATCTGTTTAAGGTAGAGGATTCCCCAGGAGCCCAGTGAGGCAGCCAGGATGAGCCTATCTCCCTTCAGAGGGAGTGAGCCCAGAGAGGCCAAGTGCCTGGGGTGGGTGCTGAGGCCACACAGCAGCTCAGCCAGGACTGGGACCTGGGCCTCCCGATGGGCGGCCTCAGCCCGGGGGTCCTTCTGGATCTGGCTGCCCCCTGACTGGCCTGGGTGGGATCTGGGGCCCCGAAAGCCTCACCATGTTTGGGAAGTAGGCTATGGCCTGGCGGTCCTCGTCCATCTTGAACAGAGCGGGCAGGTCGATGATGTCCTGCTCCGTCAGCCCCAGCTCCTTCTTGAGGATGTCACGGTTCCAGTCCAGGCAGCGCTGGGAGGGGGAGGGAGGGTAGGTGAGTGAGAGGACAGCCCTGCCACTGATACAGAACTGTACAGAGCTGTCGGTATAGGGTTACTAGGCTTGGTAACTGGTGCGTGTAGACGCTATTGTTCCGGGGCCTGGAGTGTATGACTGGACCTGCCCTGACTTCAGGAGACCCACAAGCAATCCAGCCTTCGTGTCCCAGGAGGACCGAGACGGTATCTGAGTCTTTGTGCTCCAGGGAGAGCGTGTCCCCGCCCAGGATGCAGATGAAGAGTCACGGTCATGAGAGGGTGCTCAGGGGATGCTCCGATCACTAGACTGCAGCATTTATCTGATCTACTTTCCCCCCGAATTCCAAACCCCCTCACCTACACTTTTTTTCTCCTTATGAAAAGGGCCGGCTTGAGATGGGATGTAAGACGGTCTTTAGGGTACGTAACCCGCCGTCTTCTCCGATGGCGGCTATGTGAGTAAAGGCCCCACAAAGACTCAATCCTTGTCTCTGCTCATTGGTTCTGGTAGTGACAGGTACAGGAGCGCTGGCTTTCCTGGTGTCCCCACCTTTGTCAACTCCACTCTTGTCTGCTGCGTCAGACCCAGGGCCCAGCACTTCAGCGAGCCTTCCAGGCTCACCTCGCACCCTGCCCTCTCCAGTGCCCTCGCCAGGGCTCAGGATCAGCAGTGACAGATGGGAGATCACAGCAGTCATACCGGGAAGGGCTCAGTAAATGAGCCAGACCCAGTGCTAAGTGCTTGCTACACAGTCTCTCGTGGACTCTTCAGGCCACCCCAGGAGGTGAGAATAAGGAAGGCCCTAGAATTGAGAACCAGGCAAGAGAAGGTGGTGTGGCGGACCCCAGGGCCTTGGACACACTGAACTCTCCGGCCACAAGGAGGCCTGTCTGGGGAGAAGCCCCAAGCGTTGGGGAGAACCTGTGTCCAGGAGAAAGGCGAGGCAGAAGGAGCCTCTGGGGAATGGAGAAGGCTGCTTGGCTAGAATCTGCTTCCAGGGAAGGTTCCACCGCATTTTGGACCCTTGGGGAAGGGGGAGGCCAAGGTAGGGAGAAAGCCAAGGGGGTGTGGGAGAGGGTGGTGAGGACTGAATACTGGGGTCGCCACCTGGAACCCAGAGGCAGGTGAACCCCAGTTGAGGAGACTGAAGACATGGAGTTCTTAGTGAGGTGCCCCAGGTCCTACAGCCGACAGTGGGGAGGGGCATGATTTCACTCATAGTTCACCCCAGAATTCGCCTCAGATCTATCGGATGCCAAAAAACGACCAGAGAGCAGAGATTATGATAAAGTCAACTTTCAAATAGCCACCGAGGGGTTTTGTGAATGTGGCTTGGGTTTCGTGGATTTTGCTTCCCCATCATCCACTCCACCCCTTCCCCTGCAAGGTTGCCTTGGATTGACCACACGCTCACTTCCCAGTGAGAGCTAGTTAGTGGACGCTCGCCCCAGGGACGGGTTCGGGGATAGACAGTAAATCAGGTTGAAGGCATTTTGTGTCATTGTTGGGGGCACACAGACCTCTGTCTGTCTTTCTGGGTGGTGTCTGTGCATGTGTGAGGACTGTTGCAGCCATGCTTCCACCCACGAGGGCACCTGCAGACCCAGGAAGTGCAGGTAAATGGAGCTGGAGTCCTGATCAACCTGTGCCTGAAATCCACTCCACTACAGGACTTCCCACTTATATGAGTCAATCATGTGTTTTTGTTTAAATCGTGTGTGTGTGTGTGTGTGTGTGTGTTTGTAAACTTGGTACTTATGGAAGAGAGACTGTCTCATGATGTAACTGCTGCTGGACTCATGAGCTGGACTCAGGCCAGAGCGAAGATTGCTTACTGCAAACCCCCATAGAGACAGATCATAACTGCTGTTCATTCTGACATAAATCAGCACCCCTTCCCTGCCTCCCACGAAGTGCTGGTTCCCGGGACAGGCTGCTGTCCTGACCTGGTCACGCATGTAAAGCGATGCCCCATACCTGGTAGCATTACATACTAGTACTTGTGACTATCTGTTCCTCACCCAGGGATCCACTTCATCTTGCTAAATTCAGGGCATAGACTCATATATGCATTTTTCTGGAGAGCAGGTCTGGTGCTTCCACCATATTTTATTTTATTTTTTTAAAATATATTTTATTGATTTTTTACAGAGAGGAAGGGAGAGGGATAGAGAGCTAGAAACATCGACCAGCTGCCTCCTGCACACCCCCTACTGGGGATGTGCCTGCAACCAAGTACATGCCCTTGACCAGAATCGAACCTGAGACCCTTCAGTCCACAGGCCGACGCTCCATCCACTGAGCCAAACCAGTTAGGGCTTCCACCATATTTTAAAGGGGTGCATCTTCCCCAAATGCTATGGGCTCTCCAGCTGTCCAGAGTCTGGGCTCTTCAGCACTGGCTGGTATGCCTACCTTCCCAGGTCCCTTATCTGCTTCCGGCCCCTGCGGACCCACGTCCTGTCTCTGTCACCCTGTAGCTCCCGGCTGTAGCACAGGGGTCAAGCGGGAGGCGGAAGCCAATGCTCACTGAAGCTTTTCCGTCTGTCATGTGCCCTGAACCCTTGGCCACTCCCTATGAAGCCCTGAGGATGCGAGAGGTGACCTTGGGCACAGTCCCAGGGACCCTCTGCCCCACCCCACCCAGCAGCAGCTGGGCCCCTGCCCCGCCCGCACCTGGAAGTACTGGTTCTCCTGCACCAAGCTCTCATTGGACAGAATCTTGTTGATGGTGATTCGCTTGCTGCTCATCCCGCCCAAGCCTGTGGGGATCAGAGGACAGGGGACAGTTTAGCCTCAGGTATGCCAGCTTCTGGGCTGACTGCTGTGGGGGAGGGGGAGATGGGGCTGGGAACGGGCTGGGACACAGGAGGGCAATCCTGGAAGAAACGAGGCCCCTCTGCCTGGGACGGCAGCACACACTCCTTTCCCAGGGCTGGGGGTGTTGCGGGTGCGGGGGGAGAGCAGGGCATATGCCCTAGGCCAGCGAGCGGGTGGCAGCTGCCTTGCTCTCTCTCTGGCCAGAGGGTGGGGTGGCACAGTGAGCCACCTGAGTCTTCCACCTGGAGCCTGCTTCTGAGGCTGAGCAGCCCTCCAGGGTGAGGATGGCAGGAGCAAGATGCCCAGAGGTGTCACCCTCCTGTTTTCCAGACCTGCCTCACACTCGGCCTCTGCCCTGCTCTGTGCCGGCATCTGCCTCCTATCACACCACGTGGTCCATGTGGTTCCTGCCCTGATGAGTAACACCTGGTGCTCACTGAGCACCTACTGTGTGCAGGCATGCCTCCAGATGTTTTGCACGGATTACCTCAGTAATCTTCCCACATTTCCATGAGCTGCACTGAAAGATGAGGAAACTGAGGCACAGAGAAGTTCATGGCTTGGCCAAGGTCTCAGAGCTAGTGGCTCATCCTGGGAAGGGTCTCTGGTACATTGTATTCCCCAGCCTGTAGCTTGTCAGGGCAGACAGACTGGGGCTCTCACCCTATACCCGAGCTGTATTTGTACAAAGATAATGATTTTCAGATCCTATGGATAGCTTTGGAGGCATGTTTAATGTAGAAAGAAGCCTCCAGAAAGTCAAGACTCATGCCTGCCAACCCCGGATAAACAAGTTCCCCGGGGAAGGATTAAAAAGGACAAGGTCTGAAACGGGTACTGCCTGTCCCAGCCACAGTCACTGCCAGGAGCCGTGCCCTTGCACGCAGAGGGCAACAACGTGTGTAAGTGTCAGCCCGCCTAAGGGAGGAGGCTTTGGAAGTAGGTGGACTGGAGAGACCAACCTGCAAGTGACCAAAAGTAATTTGAGAAAAGCATCAGAGACTGCCATGGCCCGTCGGACCCGGCTCACTCTCTCCGCCTGACCCGCTGTCCACCTTCCCATGATTAATTTAAGAGCAAACCTCACCCCCGCCTACGCCTGTCCCAGTTCTGTGTGGCTGTCTCAAGGACGCAGGTAAGTCCCACTGGGACTGACAGTGGTGGTGTCTGGCTATAGAGCAGGCCTGCTGACTCCCCCTTTCCTTCCTGCCCCTCAAATGCAGGACGTAAATTTCTCTCTTTCTCCCGTTCTACAACACAAGCTCCCCGAAGGCAGATTGTACATCAGTTTTGAACTATCTCAGTCTCCTCTGGGTCTGGTGC